GTATAGACTTACACAATACAACCTATGTGAAAAAGAAAAAGAAAAAAAAAAGATAAAGATTTTTATTCTAGTACTTGCCTGGAGTTGACAGTGTTAGTCGATGTAGTGGTTTATAGAAGAAGGCAAAACAAAGTGTTGTAAAAAGTAAAATATTAACTTCATAGATAGTTCACATTTTTAGGCCACTGCAAAGTCATTGGGGACAAAAACTCAATCTGACACACGAGACAACATCATTGATCAAACATGCTCAGTTTCAAAGAGTGTACAAGAAGGTAAACAGCTTTCTTTTTTTTCTCAGAAGTAACGTTACCAGAGCTGTTCCAACATCTGTCATGCTACGTTAGAAGCCTGTTGCAGAGTGACGCTAAAGCAGTAAATAGTTTTAAATTTTGAATTTTAAACAAGTAACTTTAAGTCTAATGCTCAGTGGATACATACACATTATGCAGACACAAGCTTTTATCTGTACAGTGAACCATCTCACATCCACCACTGACTACATTACACACTGGGATCACTGTCATCAACCTTTAATCAATTTAAAGTAACAATATCAAAAAGAGTTGGTGTATTTTTGTACTTCAAAAACAAGCTTCTTTTGAGTATTGCAAAAATGTCTACTTTAATTACAGAAACAAGCTGTCTGAACGACCCAGAAGCAAGTATGGAGGGAACAGAGAATGAACCCAACGTGAAGGTAAACCTGTGTGTGTGGCTCACCAGGATGAATCTAAATTAATTAGTAAATAACTATCAGAATGTAAATTGTCATATTTACAAATATGTGTCCTCCAATCTTTGCAGGGAAATGACAGAGATTAAGGTGAGTGTAATCACACTAACTAACTACACCTAGCAGACAAAACAGGAAAGGGAAACAGACCTAACACGTGCATCACAATTAATGCAAATCAGTCTCCCCTTCTAGGATGTGTTTTTACTTGTGTGGCCAAAGAGAATGTAATTGGATAAACCACTGATCTTTTAATTGGACACCCCATGCCTTAAATATTCCAGTTCAAAATTCTCACACTGCTCCTCCTCCTCCTTACATTTTAAACATGGAACCAACTATATATCAAAAATAAGGGATACTTTTGTTTATCCACAGCTACAGTATCCAATTACTAGTCTGATAAAAATGTTAAGTGAATGACAACCCTAATATTTGCACAATTTCTTAACATTTCCAATGTTAATAATTTCATCATTTGGAATAGTCCCAAATACAAACAGACAAACACAAGCATTGACTGTTTTATTCTGGTTTCTGTTCCAGCAATATACAGGATTTTGTTGGTCATATTTGTCAATTTATTTATCTGGATTAAACCTAATTATCATGATAAATTACATTCATGGTTAATCAAGATTAACTCATGGCTGCCCTGTGATTAATCAGATGAATACATTAAAACTAATATATATATATATATATATTCAGACTTAGTGTATAGTTGGTGTTAAAGCCAGGTTATAATAGTGGGGAAACAAAAGCTGGAAGAGATCCAAAATACCAGACAGACACAAGATAATGTGCTTAAAATAAAATCTTGAAAGGTTGTTGCAGGGGTTCAGAGAAATGCATCTTACTCAGTCACTATACTGAAAATGATAAAAATGTTTTAACACATTTTAAACATGGAGCTAACTATATATCAAATAATTCCTACTTCCACTTATTGTTGCTTAAGTACACAGTGAATACAGTTTTTTGGTGAAGGCCACCTAGCACAAGGCAATACACAGGTCCACCACTGACAAGCTGACTGACATAATTCTCACTGTAGACTGATCAGTACTGTTGATTTATCTAGATATATTATGATCACGATTTATCAGGGATAATTTTGATTATCCACAGCTATCCAATTACTAATTTGATAAGAATGTTCATTGGATGACCATAATATTTGCACAATTTCTTAAAACTTCCCATATATATAATATATAATAATTCCATCATTTGGAATAGTCCCAAATACAAACAGGCATAAAACACAAGCATCAACTGTGTTTTATTTGTCTCTGTTCCAGCAATATACAGGATTTTGTTGGTCATATTTGGGGGTGTTTATTTATCTGGATTAAACCTAATCATCATAATAAATTACATTCATGGTTAATCGAGATTAATCTATGGCTGCCCTGTGATTAATCAGAGGAAGAACTGTTTACAGCCCTTTTTATGAGCCAAGAGAAAGGAAATCCTATTTAAATTCTGCTCAATGAAACTTACATATGAATGTATTGTGTCTGTGTTTACAGAAAAAGAACTAGGGAAAATGTTAGAAGACCTGGGGTTAAATCACCACTACACAGAGAAGATATCACTGGACAAAATACTACAGATCGATAAGAAGACTATTACTGATGGACCTGCCAAATGTCTGTCAGATCTGCCCTGGTGTTTCCTAAAGAAACTAAAAATGGTCAATGTGACAGCTAGAGATTTTGAAACAATCTCTGAATCAGAAGAGACTGAATCCGATCTTGATGATTTGATGGAGAACACAGTAAATCCCCTTGACATAGTCACTGCCCTTTTTTTGTGTTCTGATGGATTTGTTCAACAAGAAATGGCACTCAAAATGTCTTTGTGCCAATTTGCTGTGCCTCTCCTGCTCCCCAATTGTGACAAAAACCAGAGTACACTCATGCTTTGGGCCATGAGAGACATTGTCAAAAAGTACAGACCCTCGTCACAGATAGAATCCAAGGGATTTGTTGAAGACAGAATTGTTCTGGCTGAGCTTCCGATGATATCCTTTGTGAGACTGGGGGAGTGCTCTTTGTCCAAGTCCAAGCTTCTCAACATGATGTTGAGCAATTCTCAACAATACCATGACACTTTTGTTCACCATGACATGAAGTGTGGCGACAGTCCTAAAAGAATTTCCAATGGACTGGCTGAAATCACCTGGTACCTTCCCCGTGGAAATGAAAGCAGTGATGTTTTCAGAGAGCCACTATCAATAGTCAATCTTCATGGAGACATTGCTTCACTGGAAAGAGAGTTTTCTTTTTTGTGTCAGACATCTGCAGCTGTTTTTGTGTTTTTTGACAACCTGGATCCTGAGTGTAAGCAGCTTTTAAACCAGAACCACAAGACGGAGATCTTCTTGGTTGGAAACCAACAAAGTAACAGCTTTAACCTGGATGCTCTAAAAAAATTAGCAACAGAACTGAAGATAACTAAGAATATCATTCTTAAGACAAAGAACAAAAACAACGCAGATTTTGTTCGATCTTTGCAAAAAACTGTGAAACAAATAATTGAGAATCCTAAGATAAAAATACCAATCGATCAGATGACTGATGTTGCACATGAACTGGGAATCTCTGTTGATGAAGACTGCCCTGAATGTCAGACTGCCAAAGAAAGTGCTGATGCCATAACGGGACAAATTCAAAACATTGCTGAATACAAACAGAAACACCTACAACTTCAAGGTGAAATATGGAAGGAATTGACAAGACTGGAGAAGGAACACTATAGACTTCGAAAACTTGGATCTGAAAACATTCAAGAATACAAAAGCAACATTCAAGAAGAAATACAACGTCTTAGGGAAAAACAAAATACGCAGAATATTTCAGATCCAATGACGTGTTTCATCAGTGGAATATCAAAAACAGAACCAGAGAGGTTTTATTTCCTGAAGTGGATGAGAATGAATCTCGACGACCAATCACGACAAAAACTGTCTCAACTCAGAATGCAGTACAAAAAAATAAGAAATGATTCTCAGAACAAAGATGCAATCAGAGACATTGATAAAGAACTTTCCAACAGTTCACTGGGAACTGAACACTTTTTCCGTGAAATGGGTCAAATCTATGAAGCTTCAGTTCTCCTTCCAGAAACAGATCCTTCACGTAGGCAACTACAGAATCTTCCCAAAATCTGTGCAGAGTTGCTGCTTGAAGGACTTCCCCTTGAGCTTGTAGATGGGGATGCGTCCAACATCCCTCTCACATGGGTGAGTGATGTTCTTTCTCATCTCCATGAAATGGTGTCTCCAAACAATAGGATAGCGGTAGTCACAGTCCTGGGAGTTCAAAGCACAGGGAAGTCTACCCTTCTAAACACAATGTTTGGAGTACAGTTTGCAGTCAGCAGTGGTCGATGTACTCGAGGTGCTTTCATGTTGCTGATCAAACTCGGTGAAGATGTTAAAGGTATCCTTAACTCTGACTTCATAGTGATCATTGACACTGAAGGTCTAAAGTCACCAGAGCTTTCAAAACTGGATGACAGCTACGAGCATGACAATGAGCTAGCAACCCTTGTTGTGGGACTAAGTGACATCAGCATTATCAACATTTCAATGGAGAACGCAACAGAAATGAAGGACATCCTACAAATAGTTGTGCATGCTTTTCTCAGGATGAAAGAGGTGGGCAAAAAGCCTATGTGTCAATTTGTCCATCAGAATGTATCAGATGTTTCTGCAGATGAGAAAAACCTAAGAGGTAGAGAACTGCTCCTAGAACAGTTGAATGAAATGACCAGGGCAGCAGCCAAAATGGAAAAGAAAGAGAATAATAAATCCTTTACTGACGTGATGGACTACAGTCCAGACACAGGGAATTGGTATATTCCTGGTCTGTGGAGTGGAAACCCTCCAATGGCACCAGTCAATGCAGGGTACAGTGAAACTGTGTATCAGCTCAAGAGAAACATCATCCAACAGTTGGGAAAGCATGAGATTCCTCTTAATGACATCTTAAAATTTAAAGATTGGATGAAAAGCCTGTGGGAAGCAGTAAAGCATGAAAACTTCATCTTTAGCTTCAGGAACAGCCTAGTGGCTGAGGCCTACATGCAGTTATGCATTGAATTCAACAAATGGGAGTGGGAATTCAAAGAGTCAACATACAACTGGGTAACATATGCAGAAACAACTATTTCAAACTTTGACACAATAGCTTCCAAATCTACAATAAGAAATTTGGATGACCTTGTCCTGACTTTGAAGACAGAAGCCCGTACAAAGCTGACCACGTGGACGACCCAAATTCTTGAAAAACTGAAAAGGTATTTTGAGAACAAGGAAGCTAATGTCCACCTGGTAGAAAGATACAAAGTGGATTTTGAAAACAGTGCAAAGAACCTTCAAAAAAACACGGAAAGCTCAGTGATTCGACAACTCATAGTAGCAAAAGAAATCAAAGAGGGATTAGCAGAAGTTGATAAAATCAAGGAAAATCACACAAAAGAAATTGAAAAAGCAGTGTGTGATCTGATTGACAAATGTCGACAGAGACGTGTTCAAATGTCAGACGAGACTTTGGAAGAAGAATTCAATAAGATGTGGGAAGAATCAGTAAAGAAACTTTCTTTCCGTCAACAAACACCAATG